AAATTGGTTGTAGTAACATTTGTGTCTATTTACTTTTCTATGTTCGGGCGTACAACCCGCTTAATAATAAACAGACTTTATTTTCCTTCGTCATGGAATTTACTTAAGCTGATTTGCTGATGCAGGCCAATTCATCGGTTTGCACATTTACAAGGTGTTTTGGTACAAATGTAGTCATAGTTGGCTCGTCAATTGTTCAAAAGCACCTACAACGGATTTGGGCTAGTCACTGACATCCTGCTGTTGAAAATATGGTTTGACAAATAATTAATTGTTATTTGAATACTACAAAAGTTGGGTCGTTATTCTATCACCATTGAAATGGGGAGCTACTACAATTTGTTTCCCTTTATCTACTTATCCCATTAGTAAATTGAATAAAAAACCACCAACCACTTGGACCGAGTAAGAATTTCGTTGCCTGTAATGAAAGAATGGAATCTGCTATAGAGTAATGCTGAAATAGAGCGCGACCTCATTCTTTTGAAGAGCCTTTTGATAGCCTTCAACAGCGCTTGTTCCTGGGTAACCTCATGATACTTCCACACCTACTATTTTACTTGCCTTTCATAAAATCTCAGTAAAACTAAGAAAGCGCTCTTTTGAATAGGATTATTCAACCATAGACAGTTTAGTCTATTTCATTATAGATAGTGCTACGGAGTTTATTACTGATACGGTCCATAGCTTCAGCATGATGTTATGCATGATACTGATGTAGATGACATACATTCGCGGTGTGTTTGAGGGTTCATGACCTTGGTTTATCTGACCTCTAGAGAGTTTTAGGACCTTGTTTACTCGATTTACCTATTTGTATTTTTCCTAAAAACGCATACATTTGCTTATGGATTGACCAATAAATCAAGTGAAACCCAAGATTTTGGCCATTATTCCATGGAATTGCCATTTTCCTTTGGATGCCATGCCCTGCCACAAAGTTGAATGGACAGTTAAGCTTTGCCCATGACTGCTTATGGCGTAAATACCAAATTGAGTCATTTGTTGATCAAGGACCTACATGATGTTGCTGTATGGAATCATTTACTAAACCAGAGAGAGCAGACTGGTTTTCACGATTGAGGACAACACCGGGGGGCGTGTGCTCTCCAGCTTTAAACATACGCATAGTCGGTCGGCTTGGCAACACCCACCGATTAGCATTGGATCCGCACGCAAGCTTAACCACGTTCGAGCTCCTAACCTCCGTAATCCTAGACAGATACTGACTTCAGAACAGAGGTTTTTATTAAGGATACATAGCATTAAACTAGAAGAGCGATATCCCGGTACATGCATGCTCACTAAACCACCGAAGTGTACACTTTACTGCCCATAAGAAGCTCCTAGGTATAGGGAGTAATTTCACACCGGTTTGATTAGTCTGCTCAAGTAGTGGGAATTAGGGCGTAAAATTTGACCCTTGGTTGTTGATTCTCCTGGTTCAGCCACGGTTCAAGTCATGTCACACGCCGTTCCAATCATGATTTCTAACACGTATGCAGAGTCTTAGCTGCAGCTTAAGCTTACGTGAGGGCAATAAAGTGAAAGATGGGGATATTATTAGCCATGTACAGTACCCCTCTCCTCAGAGTCTGATTTCAGCCGATGGCAGTTGTGTTATCCTATAATAGTTTTACTATTCGCAGGGACGCTAATGTGCTTATTCTTTACAGCCCTATGCCTTTGTTTTCTCCAAATAAGAATTGGGGCCCTCATACTGTACCATCGTGAAAACAGCATCTACTGAAACTATATTAAGTAGACGAATTGCTGTCGGCCACTGAACCCGCAGTTTCTGCAATTTTGAATTCCGCCTAATGAATTGGATTTCTGATCAACTCAGATCTAGTCGTTGTTGTCAAAAATACACAGATTTGAATTTAAACGCAATCAATGTTCATTGAATATGTTGGTAGATCATGCACACTGTCTGGTTTGTGATTGACGCGAGAGAAAGACTGTGCCTTCGTTCACGCAATCCGAGACGACGGTAGACATTCAGGCCTATGCACTAGATGGCCTACTTTTTGCATAGAAAGAATAGTTTAACTTCGTTGGTTAAATGCTTTTGTAAATTTAGGACATTAGTCATTCCCTCGGATAATTGTGCTCTTTTAAAATTTGTTTCCAAAGTAATTTTGTCTGCAAAAGCCACTGGTCCAATTGAGTTTATCTCCACATTTTCCTATTTTATACTAACAGACACCTTCTCTCACTGTAAAAGTAGACTGGCCGGTCTACTTTTATTTGCTATGGGTACTCGGTGTCAATTATTCAACTATTGTCCCCTCCACGGTTCATTAGTTTCCATGTTCTTTTCCTTATGATAGGCAGATGAATGACAACTGGCAGTTTGAGGTGTTCTGTTTACTGGTGAAGTGGATATTCCTATACGGTGGATGATTTAGAGAAACTCCATTTGCTTAGCATCTTTTCTTGAGCCAAAAAGCCGAAAACTAAGACTTTGTTAAATAAGGTCCTCATAGCGTGTCTTTTTCTGCCATAGTTTTGTTAAATATCCACCCAGCACTATTTTGCGAAAATTCTGATTTTTTTTGTGAAGTACTTGAAGCAGCGTAGACCCAACGAAAAGTGGAGAAGTATGGAGGAAGGAAGTATCCCCAATCCAACTGCTGGGTTTCATATGCTTCACTGATTAAGGTGATTTGAAATTTGGCATTTGGATAAGTTTGACTTTGCTCCTGATTGTTCAGTATCCGTTTGATACCTCCTCTCCATTGTAGTTCCTTTGCTGAAAAATTTCTGCTAAGTCGTTTGCCTTATATGATACTTATTGCTAGCCTCTTCAGAATGCCGTCTTTCTGTCTGGCTAAGCCTTTTTTCACTTTGCTGGATTTCATACATGGTTTTCGCAAAGTGGGACACACTTGTGCCTCCAGAAGAGCAACTTAACTCCGCAATTCCTCCTTTCCTTGGGTTGGTGTACCTCATTTGATGCGCATTTAGCCCTTCCCTTATTTGTGCCCTTTGTAAGGTAACTAAGGCATTTTCAAAACCCTCACTTATCTTCCCTGATTATGTCCCATTTCCTCCAATTTCCAATTTATTTTGCAATGTTTAATGGAAGCAGATGGTAAGGATTCTCATTTTTTCATAAGATTAACTTATCCCTTTTATTCGTTATTAACTAGGGTGCCTCCATTTTCGTTGGAACAGTCCTGGCTTATAGAATCATCTTACATAAGTTTGTTGAAAATGCTAATGTATTCATTGTGATGAAATGAAAATGCTTGTGTTGTTGGGTGGAATTTGCCTCTCTACAACTAAACAGTCGGAATCCACACTCACAACAATCGTTTATTTGGAGATCTGGAGTGAATCGCTTGCTTATTTTAACTTCAATTGCAGATGTTTCCAGACTTGGAAGGCAATGTGAGCGCGAATTGTCTTTGAGAAGTAATGTAGCCACCCCAAGGTTTCGAGATACCATGTTATCAAAGAAGTTTGTATTCACTGAGATGACCTTGTGCAAACCGTGGTGACACCCTGATGCACATTATGGTTCCCACGAATGCGATTGCGTCAATCTGTTGCAAAAGCACACTTTAATTTGTTATCTACTGCTTCATTTCCCATTTAGAATGCTCTTGCATTAGCTGTGATTCATCACAAATTGATTCGTTAAAAGACATGGGATTTTT